TATTAATTTATTTTCAATTAAATTTCATCACATATTTTCCAAATAATTAGATATCCTAATCCTATTTAAATTAAGTTTACATTTTTACTAAATTACAAATAAAGATATTATTATTTTTAAATAAATAAATCTTTTAACATGTGGCTAAATCTAGTCAAAAATTATAATTTAATACTTGTATATATCTCATAAGCCTATTCATACTAAAAAAAAAAATTCTACACGTATATTATAATATGTAAGTTTTATTTAAAATAAAAAAATTTTGACATGTGGCAAAATCTAATTGGAATTCTTTTTTGACACGTGTCATGATCATATTAACTACAGTTGACGCATCAAAGTTTATATAATAAGATTCTATTTTATCATTTCATGGGGATGACCTAATTTTTCTTTCATTTTTTTCGTGTTTGATTTGTTTTGCAGGAGCTATAAAATATTTAGAGAGTAAAAATTATTCAAATACAAATATGGAAATAAATTTATCAACAGTTTGAAAAATAGATATTTGAGAAGTAAAATAGGGAAAAAAATTAAACATAATTTAATTTAAATAAGAGTAAGAAAAACTAATGATTTGAAAATATGCGATAAAATTGAATTTTAAATCAAATAAAAAAGCATCAACATTAAGAAGTAAAGAGAAATTTCAAAAAATGCCACTTTTCAAGTGTCACTTTACAAAAATGCCACACTTCTGAAATTTTTACAAAAATGCCACTTTTTCAAAATTATTTTTTCTTTATCTTATTTATGTTTGGGTTAACTATGTTCTATTAGGGTTTAGTTATGAGGGTTTAGGGGTCAAAAAAAAATTTTGTGTTTAGAATTTTGAGATATAGGGTTTAAAAATCTATAATTAGTGCCATTTTTGCAAATAAATGGTATTTTTGCAAATGTGCACATAAAAGTGGCATTTTTGCAATTTTTCCAAAAATAAATGTTATATTTCTCAATTAGTAGGTCTACAACAACTTTTTCACTTATAATTTATTTACTTTAACATGTGATCTAATTTTATTTTGTAAAATTATATATTTTTTTTTCACAAATTTATAAGATATCAAATTACAAAACCCGCATATAAGCGGATTCTTCATCTAGTTCTTAATAAATTTACTAAATTCTAAGAGAATTAACGAGACATTACTTAATAAATTTACTAAATAAAAAGATTAAATATTATTGTTTCAAATGTAAATCAATTAAAATTCAAAAACGCTTCTTTACAAAACAACACCTTAATCTCCCGCTCTAGTCCCATTTCTGTCACAATTATTTATGTCTGGATATTCCGATTTATGAGAGAGTGAATAAAGAGTTTTTGCAGAGATTTCAGGGATTAACAATTTCTTATGCAAGTAAAGATGAATTAAGTTATACTCCCTCTGTATTAAATTTGATGATTTTCTAGAGAAATTTTTTGTTTCAAATTAGATGATTTTTTCAGTTTTCAATACAA